AGAATCAACCACATATTGGTGTATGATCATTATGTGTAATAATGCACATTCCAATAATGCAATTCCAAATAATGCAAACGATTTGTGAACTAGGAACGTTGACCTTCAAAATTACTGAAACAAACTTCATTACTTGTAAAGGGTTACACATCTTTGTGAGTGGATAAAACGATTAAAGATAGTAGATAAAGTAAAAGATCCGAGATAGATAAAATCAAAATGGATAAGCCCAAAGACAACCTCAGCATGGCTCAAAATAACAGGCCAGGGAAAATGCCTGAGACTTAACAGCAATAGTATTCTAACAATGACAGACTTAAGACACTGAATCATAGATTATTCTGTGTTGAGGCCAAAGGAGAGTGCTAGAGGTGAAGGCCACGGAGAAAAGCTTCTAACCTTCCAAGTGCAGTGAACGGAACGTAGGTACGCCGATTCTACGTAACTTAGCCCTCATAATAAGGATTTACCATGATTCATTAAATAACTCTTCTACTGCATAAAGCCAAAGGGACCTGAATCACTTAAATTTTCTCGCACCCCAAAGGCAGGCACACACTTGACAATAACAAAATGTCTAGCTTTTCTTATTCGTAACTTTTGAAGCATCATGCTGAGTTCATCAAAAGAAGAGATTCACACCTCAATGTAGATAGTCTCCTCGGGAGGAAGGCGCTCAGGAAGACTCCAATCCTTGGGAACCTTCCTGGAATTACCACCGCCGCTACCGCCATGGTGATCAGTATTAATCCACACGAGATTTTGTGGCCAACCGGGTAGAGGAGCAATATCTCCTGCGGACGTTCGGGACAGAGACTTGTAGACTTGATCGTTGGTCAGTACGACCCTAGCATCCAGACTGCTCAGTAGGAAACCCATGTTTTGGCACGAGCTGTCCTATAGCAACACAGTATATTAAGAGAAACGAAATTTTACACCTACTAACGATAAAATGACTAAATCGTTGACAGAAAATCACAGCACAGACGTAATCGACAGTGCCTAATAGGTAGAGATGTCGACACCATCTCCAAAAGCATTTTTAATTGTTGATTAATACCTGAAATGTGTAGAGGTATTAGACCAGCAACAAAAAAAGGACTAAAAAAGTAACTTTGAGTGCTCGAATGCAAGACTTCGCACATTCAATCCGCGCGATGCAAAAATATAATCAAATAAGAGACTAGGACATGCCTCTTTAGACTGAACACTTGCTCATCCAACCGTGCCAAACGGTTACAATCACTGTTCGAACCATCTCGTTTCCA